TCGTGCATCTCCTCCATGTATTTGAACGGGACATATTGAAATTCTGCTATTCTTTATTGAGAAAAAAAAATCCTTAAACATCGGATTCGAACGGCAAAAGGGCCTACAACACACACCAGCCGACAAATATTAATTAACATTTATGGTTAACTTTTTCTTTTCAAGATTGACAGGGGAGGCTCTGCCTCACCTGCCTCCCCTGACCGCACGTCACTGACGATAACGGATGGATGGGTCATAAGCAGTTTGGGAAGGATGGAGAAGAGTGAGGAGAACTGTGAGGAGGAGTTGTTGTACTCACCGTTTATGTGTGGGCTTGGAGTAGTTTCTTTATAGTGGACTGCTCTCTGGGGCTCATCTCTTCCCTGGCTTGGTCCCTGCTCCTGCTGCAACACCTCCTGCCAGGCTGAAAATACAACAGCTCATTCAGTACAGCCACCTTGAACTGCTGCATGTCCATAATTAGTTTTATTAAATCTCTACAGAGTCTGCACAGAAACCAGGATTTAATTTCTATGTAGTGTATAGGCTATACCATAAACACTAGGCCTATATACTATTATGAATGTCATTAGTAGGACTTGTTTGTTAAAAAAAAAAAAAAATGTCCAGGCGACATGACAAAGGCCACCTGCGCCGCCCCCCTGCCACTCACAGCCAGTGTTTGTATTTCAAATAGCACAGCATGTGGATTTGTCATGTGTGAACAATGATTTCATCTCTGCCAGCTAACTCCAGGTTCAACCTCTCAATAACCCAAATGGACACATTTGTGTACTGTATATGATGATTAAAGTATTTCAGAGTAGAAGAACAAAATCAGCACAGCAACAATCTCTTTCTAAGGATGGGGTCAGGCCTTCTTCATGCCCTTGTCCACTCAATGACAAGGTTACTGACGTTGTTTGTGAGCTGTTGTGGCTGAGCTTCAAGGCCAACAACTCACAGGACACAGAAAACATGAGCTTCAGCCAAATGAAGTCTCCCGGAGACCGAATGAGCCTCTGAATGTTAAAAGGAGCCACTTTAAAACTGGGTCACTGTTTAGAGTTTCAGTCTACCTTCATCCTGCCAGGAGCTTTTGTTGCCTTTTCTCAAAGCAGACAAGCGTTTCTCCCCAGGTGGCTGGTGGGTTTAAGTCAAAGCCAGAAATGCAGTTTCCTTCAGTGTGTGTGCGTGCCTGCACAAGGAGCATGATACTGTATGTGGGTGTGAAGCATGGGTATCATGGGGGGGGGGGGCTGATTAGCTGTTCTTATAAACAGATAGTAAAACAAGTTGCAGGTGTCAGGATGCATTGAGACAATGTCAACTCTTGTCTAGTTTCATCTTCTCCTATTTACACTCATAACAGCCATTCGTCATTCACTTTCTTACCCTCATAAACAAACTTGACATTTTCCTCGTGTGCGGGGGTGAAACTCTCCTCCCATTGGTTGTCTGCAGGGAGAGCCGCAGCAGGGTGCTGGTACTTCTTACTGTTCAGGCGGTTGAAAACTATTTTGGGTGCAGGAAGGCTGATGGGGAATAAGGACAAAGAAAACATGTCATAACTAGCACGGGGCTTTCTGTAAACACAACCTGTGATTTGATCTCTCATTGCTGAGCAGGAAATTTCTTCAAAGTGTCAACCTTTGGGCTTTAAGTCACACAAGCTTGGCTGAACAGGAGTCAGAGATTGCAACAGCCGAGTGAAGGACCATGTGCCACCTCGTGGTCCCACAAGGTCACACGCACAAAGCATGGGTGGGTTGAAAGGCCTGAGGCAGCAAACAGACTGAACCCTGGGGAAACCTTGTGTGAAGGTGCGTTATAAATCACTCAGGCCCACGCTGACGTGATCCAGCCCCTTGCACGTCCTACCAGTGTCCACACTGCCTGTCTCAATTTGATGACGTTCACTGCTTATCATTCACGAACACATGACACAGTTCACGTGCAACTAAGCCTTAAATTAGTGCAAAAATGAGCCAAACGTTTGAGATTCAAAAGGGCACACGAAAAACAGCATCAGAGACAGGCTGCACTATTGAGAACATTAGGAAAGGTTTTCATTAAAAGTGTCGCTTCAGAGGTTCAACACTTACTCAGGCATGCCCCAGGACGTTTGCTTGTGCTTAAAGTCGTTTATTTTGTTGTCCAGCTGCTGTGTGGGCCCTAGACAATAAGAGAAAGTATACCTTTTGTTTCAAAAAGCAGCCGATCATTAGTTTCCCAACAAGATTAATGTTTGATGAATCTCTGAAAATGTGTTTGACAGTTAAAAGGTTCGTCTCACCTGTGCGTCGTTGGGTAACCAGTTTGCTAGGACCTCTGGTAATTGTGTACATCATGTGCAGAAAACGTCCCCCTGTAAACTTCAAGTTTGGCACTTTGAACTAAGTAGAGTCCAGACGGAGAAGACACGGGTGGAGCAGGCCTACTCGGAAAAGCACTTTAAATTAAACCCATTCCTCCAGGATCTATCGGTGTAAGGAGGCTCTCTTGATATGAGGAACGTCAGTCAGCTGATGAGGTCCAATTCACCTGCAGGCTCACAGTGCAAATCCACGCAGCTGACACGAGACTGAAGAGGCTGCTTGGTAACCGTCAAACGGAACCGTGCGCCGCGCTCCTCTCTGCGTAAAACCAGAAGCCGGGGCGCATCTCAACCAGCCAGCCGTGCGCTTTCACCTCAAGTGGCACAGTCAGATGACTTACAGATAATGTAAGTCACTTTGTTGCGGAGATGTCTCGTAGTGCCACAATGTCACATAACCTGAAAAGGCGGCTGTCGTTCATAAGACATTGGACGCACACTACTTCTCGGCGTCCGTACACGCCCCTCGGCGTTTTAAAGAGACAGTGTCCCGGTGTTGTGGCAGAACATGAAACACAGCGGGACTCCAAGGACCACTAACTAGAGGCAGATGAGAAGGAAGTGTACGATCTTCTTCCTCGATCTCCCTCAGCTGAGGCAAATTATCCTTGAAATATCCAATAACATGTACAATCTTAGATATGATTTCCCCTTCTGCACTCACTCCACTGTTTGGTGTAGCATGAAGTAAATAAATAAAACCCTCTAAGAGGATTTGTTCAAGAATTTATTCAAAGAGGGGTCATTTGTCTGCTCTTCTATGTAACTCCTACAATATTACAGTACCCAACGTTTCTGTGTTTACAGTACACAAAGGAGAAGTCATACACCCACAACTCTGTTTACAAGGCATTCATGCTTTACTCTGTGGTGACTGTGTCTAAATTAAACAGTGAAATCGCAAAGACACCCAGCTGGCCATTAACAGAAAGTGTGCAAAGGACATTCCCATATACTATTTAAAAAGATCATTACTCACTTGGTGTTTACATTATAAAAACTTATTTCAGCCAATGAAGATGAAATAGATTGATAAGTGACCCAATTATGATTTAACCCTACTGGAAATAAGAGAAAAAGAAATCCAAGATCATTTAAAAAAAAAATGATGGTAACAAGCTGTTAAGCCTTTTGCCTACAAGAACTCTTTAAATAACTAATTAAAACATACACACACAAAGGGATAAGTCAACTATGACTGAGGACAATATCACATCCTCTGTCTTTTCTGGAAATTGACATTCTACACTTACAAATTACACATGGTTGACTTTTTTTAAAGCAGATTCAGATATTCAGCACATTCACTATCTCATAAAAATAAAATCAAGGAAATCTGTATTTATGCCTCTACATGTTCCTAGCACTGTGGAGAATTATTCAAAGCAGCATTTGAATCATTACATAACCTTAAATGAACAAATGTCATGTGACGTTTGTGGGTTTTTAATGTTGAGCCAAACATTTGTTTTGCAGGTGGGGCAGCGCTGTAGGAATCTGGATTGAAGACCACAGTTTTGAAAGGCCTGCCTGTAGCCCTGATCACAAAACAAGTTCTCCTTCTCTAGTAATAATTCATAATGCAAGTATCAAACAAGTCAGACACGTATTGCTGAGTTACTTTCCCTAAAGTATTGTGACATTTATCTTACAGTTAAAATGTCTTGTCTACTTGTGGCACTTGATGACAAAAATGTCATCATATCAAGCTGTAGAACATTCACAAGACATTTTCTATTATTAAATAAATGTCATGACAGCTGGTGTTGGTGTGATGTCACTGTGTCTAATGGTGTCTGTTTGTAACAAAGCCTCTTAAAGATCAGTGCAGAGGGTAGGAGAGTAGTGTGATCCTTGGTCCTGCTGCAGGAGAGTTGGAGGTATGATAAGAACAAGGAAGTATACAGTCGAGCCTTCAAGGTTTAGTGGGACTGTAGATTTAAAGGGACATAAGCTGTATGATAGATGGGGATGTATATACTTACCAATACAGTAAATCATACATGTACTTCTGTAAAGCTTGTGATGTTCAGTTGCCACTACAAAGCTAGTTAGCACCAAGTTCCTCTCTCACTTGCTTCTTAATTTGAATTTCATCTACTGTGCATATTTCAGCATTTTCAGTTTTTTCATGAAGTCAAGAAATTTTTAAATATTATAATGAATCAGGTATATTTTTAATTTTCTGGTTAATAACAGATTCCAACTGGTAATTTGTTCCTTTGGAAGCTGTGAAATATTTTCTTTGAGCCTTTAATCACCTTCATATGTCTTGAAATGCTGTGTGCGAGGATTCAGTAATGAGGCTCACAGTCTTCTAGGAGACTGTCGGTGATGTAGCCAATCTTCAGCAGGTTTTGGTAGTAGTTTTTTTCCACGGCGGTGTTAACAGTCCAGCCCACAACCTCCACACCTCGCTCTGCCCAGTAGTGAACATAGTCCCTGCGTCAAAGAAAAGAAAGGGGAGAAGATAAGACAAGATAAACACTGCTGGTTGTAAACAGGACATGATACAGAACAGTGGTCCCCAACGTCTGGAGCCCGTGACCCTGTGAAATGAAGCAACGCCTACTTCTGACCCGTCACCTGCACAAAACAACTCTGCAACTTGGTGGTTCCAGCAGCAGCAGAATGACTGCTTATTAGCCAGTTTTGTATTTTGATAATTTTTTTTATTAAATTCATAATGACTAGTTTCTTCAAGTAATAAAGCTGCACAGGACATTTGTTGCAGCTCTTGCACTGGGAGTTTTGCAGTTAAATTAGCCTGGTTGAAGACTTGTGAATCACTGTGCCAGTCTCAAAAATGTTCAGATTCAAATAAAAACTACATGACAGTTCATTCTGATAATCACGCCAAATGTATTATATCATGTAAATTCATCATTCATCAAAGTAACATCATTAAACTGTGAATGATGCATCTTTGTGGTGGTGCACTGTAATGATAAAATGCATGAGTTTCACCTACAGGGAGATGAAGTCCTTGTGCACTAGGATGGCAGAGACTCCACAGAGTTTCCACAGTATGTGGTGGTGGGCCCAGTCCAACAAGATGTCCAGAAGACCTGTCCACAGCTGATCCCGCATTGACAGGGTGCGAGGAGTCCCATCGCCAAAATGGCTCAGTCTCCAGGGCCGGTGGGTGAGAGCCGTGACTACTTTGGGGTCAGTCTGACGCATCTGTGGACCGGAGGAGGTCAGAGGTCAGTAAAATGTTGTCTTCTTAAGAAAGTAGATGGAGGGTTTTATGTATCATACCAACTAGTTTGTCTTGGATTACTTTTAAATACTACTACAAATACAGTACTTTCATGTGTCAGTTTAAAGCAGTGTCCCTGTCAAACTTTTATTTTAGGCTTTAGCTAGAAAAGAAAAAGAGGAAAATGTCAGCAAAGCCTTGAACATTGTTACTCAGTGGCCAACTCACTGCTCAATATTTAGACAATTAATAAACTATAATGTATGTAAGCAAATAAATAAATGGGGGAAAAAATGAAAACAAACCAATTTCTTGTAAACACAGGTTCAGATTTGTACAGGGATGTAAAAAACTACAAAGGTCAGTATTTGCATTTTCATTACTCTCATTGCATTATTTCTTTTGTGTTACCTTGTAGATGACTTTGGGTTCAAAAGAGGAAACAATACTGGAATTGTAAAGAACAGGGAACCTCTCATACATCTCATGAAGCACTGATGCAGCCTGGTGAAGAGGAAACCTTATCAATCTTCCATATAAACAGGAGAATGTGACAATATTACAACACTGTTTAGCTCTCAATCTCTTATTTGAAGAGTTTGTGCTGAAGTTTGTGCTTTCTCAGCTCATTTTTCCTCAGAAAGTAGGAGACAGTTCTCCATTACTTTATTATTTAACATAGACCAACCATTTGATACATCTTTATAGTGTGTCCTAGTATCTTTTCTCTGCATTTTGAGAGTTGTGGATAACACAACAGGCACTTTTTAACAATGCATTGAGCAGTGGGTTACATGCTTTTCCTTGTTTTTTGACTTATCTACAATGGTACAACAGTGAATTATCATCTTAGACGTACGTATGTTCTAGTAGTTCTATGCTGAAGCAATTCGGTTTAGACACATCTCGCAAACTCTTGCTTGTGAGGCTTTTTTTCTAGCAAATTAAAGCATTATGTGTCCGTTTAAGGATTTCCTTGAATGGTCACAACTTTCAGGCAGTTGCGTGTTCATGTGAGCTTGGCTGACATCCACTGGTGCCATTGTAAAAGCAGAATTTTTTGACTGCACCTGGTTTTGTGGATATATTTTACCTCCTGCCGCTGCACTGTGACCAGAGGATGTGGAGAAAAATACAGGGCCTGAGGTTACTGCATGTCCGGGAATGTTCCTGTACAGGGACTCGCTGTTCTACCTGACTGGGTCTAACCTAGACACAGTGACCACCGGTTGGATTTACCAACCTTGGAGCTACTTGAAAGGGAGTGATGTTTCCACTACTCAATGGGCCTTAACGATAAGTCAAAAAAAAACACACATTACATGTCTGTTAATAGGTTGTTTTTGTAACATTACAGATAATTGTTGTAAGGCTGGAGAAATTACTGTGTCTGCATTATGCCAGTTAAAATATGGGGTTTCTCAGTTACCCGCTTTCTTTAGTGTTACACATCGCTTTTCATTGGTACACTGGTTCTGTGGAGGACAAATTCAAATAAATAATGCCGATGTGGTTCGCCCTGCTGCCCACTTTAGACACTGGCAACAGGAGTTGTGCATGTTCACGAACTATCCTCTCATTTTTAGGAAGCGGCTCTTTGGTTTTATGGTTCTGAAATGCCATCCATCCATCCATTTTCCTCCGCTTATCCAGAACCGGGTCGCGGGGGCAGCAGTCTAAGCAAAGATGCCCAGATTTCCCTCCTTCTGAAATGATTACAGACTATTTGGAGTTATGAGGGGTGCCAAGCTAATGTAGAGCTACCAAGATTAAACATTAAATGGCTGGAAACAAGCAAAATAAGCATGGGCACTTTAAGTCACTGCAACTGTATTACTGTTCCAGAGATATGTATATATCCATATGCCTGTTAGACTAGGTAAATCTGTTCAGTACCTTATCAGGTTGACCTCTGACATCAAAGAAGATGATCAGCTGGTGTCTGATGCACTCCTCCACTGCCTCCTGCAGAGTTGGTACCGTCTCTCCACTGAACTTGTCCCTGCAGATGAAACACTTTATTTTTAAAGAAAAACAGACAATATTCATGCTGCATCAACTTCTCACATTCAAAACTGTTTATCTTGTTCCCTAGTGGTGAAACTGAGTTTCAAAGTCTTTAAATTGTGATAAACGGTATCTGGAAAGGGCTTATTGTGGTATTGTCTTGTATGAAAACATTTCTGCAACTTTTTAGCAAAAAGAACTTCACAGATTTCAAATCAAGTGCATTCTGTAGTATTTCAAGGACACGCTGTCCTACGTTTCCTTATCAAAGCATGAAATCACAATCTTAGCAAAGCTGAAACTACTGATTGATGGGAAGCGTACTTTAGCCTGTGTCGAGCAGCAGCATCTAGTCTCTTTAGCTGGACAAACTGCAGTTTGCCAACTGCTCCAGAGCCGTTGGTGGTACGATCCACAGTCTCGTCGTGCATCAGTATCGCCACACCATCAGCTGTGAAACTCAGGTCCAGCTCCACTCCAGTTGCTCTGTTCTTACTGGCCTAGAACAGGAGATGATAGGGAAGAATTGGAGGGCACGATGGAAATGAGAATGAGAAGAGAACTATTTTTGACTTGATGTGTCTAACAACAGAAGAAAATGAGCCTAAATCACACAGAAAAGGCATCAAAATGAAGCATCCAGCATCAGCATGGCTACTGACTCTGAAAAGCTGTTTAGAAAGCCATGGTAGAATTTATTAGGTCAGAGAGTAGATGATCTCTGAAGGATTATAAATGTATTGTACAAGACAACATTATGTTGGACAGTTAGAATAAAAGCACAGCAGGAAGGCTTTACAGGTTTGAGTCTAAGGCTATCCAGTTAAAGGGTTTGTCATTGAGAGCACATCAATTTATAAACAGTTTATTTTCCAAAGTAAATTAGAGAACAATGCCAATGAGCAAAAAGAGCCACTGGTCTGCAAACATCAGCTTCTCTGATGTGGTGCTGCTTAAACATATAATTTCAGCATATCTATTAGGCTATGTGGGTTAAATCTTTCATGAAATTGCCCTAATACTTCTTTGGGGAGTCCGTGCTCTAGACTTATACAGAAAGGAAATGTATAATTTATGTTGGTGTTAAAGGTTTTTATAACCTAATACTTTAGCTGTATAGTACACAGGCCCATGCAGCCTACAGCTCTGAATTTCCATCACAAAGGACTGATGACTGCATGCAGTCCGACCTCTCTGATCGCGGCCAAGGTGTTCTCCGGAGC